TGTAGAAAATTTTTCTATTTCACACATTAATCCAAAAACCAACTAAAATGGCTTAAAATGGAAAAAAAATTATTACCTTGGAGTTATGGAGGTCACATCCAAAAAACGATAAAGATGAAGAAGTTCTTGATGACTTTAAATAAAAAATCTAATAAAACATGTCTTTATACTAATTAAATGAATTTATTAAAAGCTAGTTTACCATTTTGCCATTAATGAAACTTGATAACTTCTCATATGCCATTGCCATGAGATCATCTTTCTTACAACATCTTCAAAGTCAAACATGAACCAACTTTTCCATACTTTATATTTTATCCATTAAGCTTCCAAAATTTACAAACTAGTCTAAAAGTTGGGATATTACACCAAGGACTTGGAGTTATGTACCCTCAATGAGATCATCGGTTATTTACTCACTGATGAGGTGAACTCTAAATGAACAAAGAGTAAGAAGAAGAAGAAGAAGAAGAAGAGAATAACAAGAAAATGAGGTGGGAATTGCCTTCAAATCCACAATGAGAGTAATCAAGACTCAAGTGAGGAGGTGGATGAAGATGAAGAAATAGGAAAGCTCTTGAAAAGATTCACAAATTCATGTCTTCAAAAAGAAAAGAAGTGAAGAATAAATCAAGTAAGAAGAAGGGTGCCCCGGTGTGCTTTGAGTGCCAAAGAACGGGACATGTCAAATATGAATGTCCTCTTCTAAAGAAAAAGAGATCGAGCAAAAAGAATGAATTTGTGACGGCTTAGAGTGATGAAGACAACTCCTATGATGATGAAGTTGCCAATCTATGTCTCATGGTCATCGAAAAGATTCAATGATAACTTCTAACTTTTTTTATTTAAATTCTTATTCATTTAAAGAGCTACAAGATGTCTATGATGAGTTTTATTTGGAATTTGAGACCATGGATTCCAAATATAAAATTAATTTCAAGATTTAAAGTTGAAAATGATTTGATTTTGAAAGAAAAGGTTTATTTTGAAAAACAAAATGAAGGTTTAAAAAATGATTTTGAGTTTTCAAAAATCAAAATCAATGATTTAGAAAAAGAAAATTTTTAATTTAAAAGAAAATTAAATCATTGATGTTTAAAAATTTTTCTCAAAAGAAAATTAATTAATTTCTCAAAACAATTCATTATGTTTAAAAATGGCAAAATGCTCACATTGTCATTTTCGTGGTCACATGAAACTTGTCATTTTAAACTTAGAAAACATTTTAAAATTAGACAAGTATGGTTTCCTAAGGGAACAAGGGGCATTAGCACTAACAATCAAGGATCCAAAGGAATTTGGATACCAAAATCAAAATAAATGTCTCTTGTAGGTGTGTAGGAGTAATTGTGACAAAAGTGAAGATATTCAAATGCTCTAGCCACACTTGATATGGAATGGGTAACCTCTACACTTAATGTTTTTGATTTTGCATAATTGGTTGCATATTTGTTTTATGCATGCATGAGTTTTAAGCTTAAATGATTATGTGTGTTTTAAATCTCATGTATGTTAAAATGTATTATTATGGACATTTTTCTTTATTTTTAGTGATCTTTCATAAATGTTTTTTCATCGTAATGATTTTAGGTCAAATTTGATTTTTAATGTTTTTATTTTACAAATTTTAATTTTTTTATCTTAAATTTAAATGTTTATGCTTGTGATTCTATTGCAAATGATATCTCTCTAACAATTGATATCAATTTTTCAAATGCATAATATTTTTGGATAGCTTTATGCATATGAACTTTAATGTCTCATGTTAACAGTGCATAAAATAGTTTAGACTTGGATTTATTGAATTTCATATGTTACTAACATGTTTGTTCATATTTGTTGAAATTCAATAGTTTTTAAGTGTTAAATTTTTTAAGTCATTTTTTTTAATGCTTTTGTTGAGGGGGAGCTTTTTATTTTTAAAATGATTTTTATGTTAAAATTTCTACTTACTCTCAATTGTTATTTTTGAACCTTAAAGTTTGAATTATTTTTATACAACAAAAAGGGTGAGAAGTATGAGTTTGAAAAATTCAATTTCAAGAATGAAAAAATGGGACATTTAATATTTTCCAAAATATTTCTCTTTTTCATTAAATGTTTTATTAAGGGGAGGTTTTGCGAAAAACCATTTTTCAAAGGTTTTGTTATATCAAAAAGGCAAAATGTGTTTGGACTAAATTGAATTTATTCAAAGTTTTAAAAATAATTCAAAGAACACAAAACAATTTTCAGGCCAAGAAGTACTGTATTATTCTTACAGTATCGATATTATTCTTGTAGTATCGATACCCAAGGTAACGGGAAATATTGATACTACAATGGTAGTACCGATACTGCCCATTGATTTTAAATGTGTTTAGATTCCAGTATGCAAATTTGGTACTAACACTATGCAAGTATCGATAACTGTATCGATACTATAAACCCTAGTATCGATACTCCAAGCCCAACGGTTAAAACATGTCTAGTTTTTATTAGAGCAGTACCGATACTCCCAACTCGAGTATCTATACTCCTTTGTCTGAGTGGTTTTATTTTTGCAGCGATTAAGTCCCCAACGGCTAGAAACGATCATAAACACATTCCAACAAATAAAAAGAAGTTGAAGACACTTGAAGAAGGTTACAACACATATTCAAACAATTCACATCAAGAGAACAACTTTTTTATTTTTATTTTTCCTATTCTCTTGTACATAAGTGTTTTTAGTGAGCTAAGTTGTGTAAACACCTACCTTTTGAGATTTTCTTGTTTACAATTATTTATCCTTTTGTAAAAGGGGTTTGGTTCTAGTTTAGCCATTGAAAACTAGGGAGTTGTAAAAGGTTACTCTTGAGCCTAGAAAAAGAAAGAACAAATTAGTGAATTTGTTAGAAAATCCTTAGTTTGGAGCTAAAGTATGGGATGTAGACTTTGATGATAAGTCGAATCATCTAAATCGTTGTGCAAATTGTCTATCTTTTCTCTTCATACTCCCAAAATTCTATTTGGCCAATTCAATCCCTCTAAACACCATTTTCGGTTGTTCAATTCAGCTTCACAAATATCACCAACTAGGAAGTAAAAGATTTCTGGAGATGGCTCGTACCAAACAAACTGCTTGTACGTCAACCGGAGGAGAGGCTCCTAGGAAGCAGCTTGCAACCAAGGCTGCCCGTAAGTTTGCCCCAACCACTGGAGGTGTAAAGAAGCCCCACCGTTACCATCCTGGAATCGTTGCCCTTCGTGAAATTCGTAAGTAGAAGAAGAATGCTGAGCTTGTTATCAGGAAATTATTTTTTCTAAAGGCTTGTCCGTGAAATTGCCCAGGACTTCAAGCCTGATTTAGGTTTCCAGAGCCTTGTTGTGTTGGAGGCATACCTTGTTAGTCTTTTCGAAGATACTAACATTTGTGCCATCCATGCCAAGCGTGTTACAATAATGCTTAATGACATTTAGTTGGCCCGTAGGATCAGAGGCGAGCTTGCTTAAGTGCGAAATCTCACTTGCAATTAAACAATTCTTGTGGGCTTTTAAGAGGTTTTTGTTCATTTATTAAGTAGATAAAAAGATAGGTTGGTGGTAGTTTTGTTTGTTGTCCATCTGATTTGATCATGGTAGCGTTTGCTTTTTAATGGACAGCTTCTTTCAATCTGGGCAATGTCTGTGTTTAAATGGACAGAATATGTTTTGGCAAATTGTTGCACTGTCTATTATTTTTGCCAAACCTAATCTAAGATCAAGTTTAGTTATATATTGATATTTGTCAAGTTTGTTTCCTTGGCATTGTCGCTTCTAAAATTTGTTGTTAGATTGTGGTATTCGCTTTTGTTCTATGCTACTGTTCAACATACTAAGTTCATCAAAAAAAATATCGTGGAAAAGCAGAGGTAAAACGAAAACCATGGTTCTAAGCTTTCATCATTGTCATTTTTCGCTCTAGCGGTGTCATTTCTGATTTGGTTACTCAACTAAGGTTTCACAGTCATCCGAGGATAGATATACTATTTGCCGTTGTTGCTCTATTTCGGTTGTTTCAAGTAAAGACAGGTAAAGCCATTTCAAGGAACTAATATTAATAGTCTCCGTCTGTATTTTGTAAAAACTAATCAAAGTATAAATGTCTTCTTGTGAATATCCAATATACCTGAACGTAAACAAATAGAGAATGATGGTGATGAAAACATAATAAAATGAAACAAATGCCATTGTATTTCAATTTCCTCAATATTGAACTCACCCATAAGCTGAGGGATATTTACCAGTAGGTTGTTGTCGGCTATAAGCTGAGAGATCATGGTAGCTGGGTGGTGCCATCAATCCAGGACCTAGAACTGGTCCAAACGGTCCAAAATGCTTACCTAATATAGGGAAAAATAGACTTCTTTAGAGGGAATAGAAATGGGGTTTTTCAATATTTGATATACAACTACCAAACTCAAACATATGCTAAAAAGAAATGCGAATGAAGGGAAAAAGTAAGAAACCGTGTTGAGAAATTGGTGGATGATACCTTTGAGCATCGAATGCTGCGAGATTGCAGTTGGCTCGCCTTCCATCAATGATATATCTTTGATATTTTTAGCAATGCTTTTTCATACGGGAGAATGAAAATGAAAGATAAAAAAACATTTTTTTTCATATGGGAGAGTGGAGATAGAAGACAGAGATCAAAATGGTGACCAAACGGTGTCAAGTTAGTAGTTAACCTGCTCTGTCAGACTTTAATTACCTACAATAATCATTATTAACGTTGAGGGATTATTTTGTCATAAATCTATAACGTTAGTGATCATTTTATTACCTTTAAAACTTTAACGGAAAAAACGAAAATATACTAAAACATTAGTGACTCTATGTGTAATTTTCGTTTGTTTTTCACAATAAAGGACTACTTCAAACTACTTAAATTATTATATTAATAAAATTAAAAGTACGATATTTAAGTAGTTTACCCAAGATAATTGAAGAAGGAAAAAAATTCAAATTACATATATAATTCCTAAATTCAAATTACATATATAATTCCTGGGAGTTGTCCAAGCCAGCAAAAAGAAATGGCAGGTTATTCACTCCTTTCCACACTCTTCATTCAGTCCTCATCTCTTCCTTCCCCATTTTCTCGCTTCCCAAACAGAACTCAAAAGCTCATTTCCACCGCGAAACCCTCTTTTCTCTTCCCAACGAACAAACTCTCTCTCATTCCCCTCCGCGGTCTTGTTTTGAATCAAACCAAAAACAATGTCGCCATTAAGTCTGATAATGATTCTCTTGTTCCTTCAGCTTTCGATTCCTTGTTTCTTCTCTGCACCTCCCTTGCTCTATCTTTCTCCTTGTTTGTAACCGATGTGGGATCCGCCTCTGCCTTTGTGGTAACCACTCCCAGGAAGTTACAGACGGATGAGTTGGCTACGGTTCGTCTATTTCAAGAGAACACTCCATCTGTTGTTTATATCACCAATCTCGCAGTCAGGTTCACTCAAAATTTCCCCTTTCTTCTTTGGATAGTTTCTAATTTTTTTCTGTTTTTAAGGGTTTTCTTGGGTAATTGGTATTTTTAGGCAGGATGCTTTTACATTGGATGTGCTGGAGGTTCCACAAGGATCCGGGTCGGGTTTCGTTTGGGATAAAGATGGTCACGTTGTCACCAATTATCATGTGATTCGTGGAGCTTCTGATCTCAAGTTCGTTTTTTTTATATAAAAATTTAATTTATTGTTTCCTGGTTTCTGCGTTTGCTGTAAATGTAAATGATTGAGATTGAATACTTGTAGAATGGTAGTAAATATATCTATGGGTATTTTTATCCCCGCGCGCGTGGGTATTGAAAATAGATGAATTAGATTATCTTCTTATTTTTTTCCCCCTCTAATTATCCTAAAAATGTGTAAAACTTAAAAATTTTACATTGTGTGAATGGATTCTACCCTATATAATATAGGAAGGGTATGCGGATGCTGAAATTTTAATCTCAAACAATGCCACCTCTAAGAGATGGTTGCTTGAACCAACTGAGCTGAGCTCCGGGTTCGGATTTTTATGTATATTGTTGGAATTAAACATTATCTTTTCTTGAAGTGCTAGGGATGGATAGGAAAAACATGGACTTTTGCAATATATTTGATTCCTAAGCATTTTATCTTGAAGGACAAATATGAAAGGCAGTGGAATCATTTTTTTTTTTTGGTTGGGAGAGGGGTGATTTAGGCATTAGAATGAGGCCTGTGACATGATCTTGATGATGTTGTGCGTTTTTCTTGATCAAATAATGGAAGGGTGCGTTCTGTAACTGGGATGAAATTTGTGTGTCGTGACTGCTTTTGGAGGTTTAAGACTTTCTTTAGGCTGCTGTTAACATTGGTTCTAAGTCTCTAAATTGGTCTCATGTGGAAAATGTGACCTAACCTTGGAAAGTACCTGGCCTCCTATTCTGGGGATGTACTAGATAAAGATGCTTAAATTTCTTGCCCAGGAATCGGGATGCATTTATTTTATTTCTTTAATCCCCCACTCCCGGGGGTTTATTTTGGCCTATTTGGCATAGGAACAAAACGGGGCTTGTGACAAGTTCACAATGGTATCTTTGTTTTGATCTTCTTTGAGCAATGGAAGGGTGCATTCTATCATTTGGATGAAATACTTGATTTATTTTGGAGGTTTTGCACTCACTCTAGGTTTCTGTTTACATTGGGTTTTTGACACTAAAGTAATGTTATACTGAAAGCTGTGAGCGAACCTTAGAAATTGCCTGGCCTTGGGTCCTGGGGATATAATTGATAAAAATGATTTTACACTGTTGTGAATGTTTAAAATTTTATGTTGGTGCTAATCACTTGCAGGGTTACTCTTGCTGACCAGACAACGTATGATGCAAAAGTTGTCGGATTTGACCAAGACAAGGATGTTGCTGTATTGCGTGTTGATGCACCTAAAGACAAACTAAGACCTATACCCGTTGGTGTCTCGGCAGATTTGCTTGTGGGCCAGAAAGTATTTGCTATTGGTAACCCAGTGAGTAAATGTTTATTATATTACACTGAGTTATCATCTATACCCTTTAATATTTCATTTTTCATTTTACTGGAAATTGTCTGTGGTGAGGCTAGATATGAACATATTTATCCACTTATCCTTATAAAAATAATATTTCTTACTTCCTAGGAATGAATGGTTATTTTTTACCCTTTGTGCATTTTATATTTTATGTTTTATTGCTGATGCACCATATGAAATGGATTGCTTTCTTTGAACATGTTTCTTATGATGTTTAAAAGGACTGTCATGGAAAAGAAAGTTGCTTTTCAAGTTGCATACATACTGAAGACTGGCAGGTCTATGTATTTTATTACTTGAAAACTGTCCTTGCTAGTAATGCAGTTTGTAAGTGCCTCGTGAAGACATAGTGATCATGTTCTTTTACTGCTAATATTGGAGCTCTCTTTGATAGCTTCTTCAAGTGTGTATCCAATTTTTTTTTTTTATGTTTTTGCAGTTTGGACTTGATCATACTCTTACAACAGGCGTTATCAGGTTCCAAGACCGACAATTGTGATTGATATGTCTGATTTATTTTCCTCCTACTTATGCTGGTTTTTATGTGAATTAGGATTTTGCTAATGGATCTTTTATATTGCCTATAGTGGGCTTCGTAGGGAAATCAGTTCTGCTGCGACTGGTCGCCCAATCCAAGATGTTATACAGACAGATGCTGCTATTAATCCTGGCAATAGTGGAGGGCCACTCCTAGACAGTTCTGGAAACCTTATCGGGATAAATACTGCTATATATTCTCCTTCTGGTGCATCTTCTGGTGTTGGGTTTTCGATTCCTGTTGACACAGTGAGTATTACTACAGATCTTGTATTTCATTTGATCTGATGTGTGTGTGCTGAGATGCAAGTATTTTTTTTTTCTTCGCTTGGAATTCCTACATTTCTAGGTCAGTGGCATTGTTGATCAGTTGGTGAAGTTCGGGAAGGTGACGAGACCTATTTTAGGCATTAAATTTGCACCGGATCAATCTGTTGAACAGTTGGGTGTAAGTGGTGTACTTGTCTTAGATGCTCCTGCAAATGGTCCAGCCGGCAAGGCGGTATGCTTACTATATTTCTGCATCAGAGTTTAATGTCTTATTGAAATTTACTACAACTTTCATATCTGTATTAAAATCTTTGGTCAAGTATGCTTCAATGACGTGTTGAAGATTTTTTTTTTCCTATTGCAAGGCTAACCTTTTAATATATTACAGGGTCTGCTACCGACAAAGCGTGATGCTTATGGTAGACTCGTTTTGGGTGACATAATAACATCCGTTAATGGGATGAAGGTCACTAATGGCAGTGATTTGTACAGAATTCTTGATCAATGCAAAGTTGGTGAAACGGTATAGCATTGAATACTACTTATATCAACTTCTCTCTCTCTCTGTATATATATGTTAAATAATTTTTGATGTACAAACTTTTCCATAATCTTAATTCTTAGGTTATCGTGGAGGTGTTGCGTGGAGATCACAAGGAGAAGATCCCTGTAGTACTCGAGCCAAAGTCGGACGAGTCGTGAAATGTGTTTCGGTATGTTGTGTAACCTTAAGTAAAGTAGATATGCCAGGAAATGTGATTATCAGCTATTTTACTGGAAATGATCCTGTTGTACATACGCCATCAACTTGTATCATCTTTGACACATTGTGAAGCAGAAGGCATTTACATTTGTAAAAAATGCATCCATCCAAATATATGGATATGTTCAAGTTTTTTTAAAGTTTTTACTTGTTTTGGAGGATCACATCCTCAGACTTGTATAGAAAATATGTCAGAATTTGGGCACTCGAAAGAAAAATGGTTCAGGTTTATTTTTCTGAGAGGTTGATCACTTAGCCATGTCATGCCATGCCATGCAAAGGTTTACTTTATTTATGTATCTATATTTAATACAAGTTGATTTAGAAATTATGTTCACCAATTTTTTTTTAATACAATTTTTTTTTTGCTTGGCACAGCAAAGTGTATAGGTGGAAGTACAGAAAAGAGGAAAGGGTAATTGATTGTCCCAAAAAGCAAGAGATGCCCTTAGCACGTAGGCATTGGTGGGGTGTCGTTTTTTGAAATCTCGTCTCGAAAAAATAAGTATTTTTCTTTGAATCAGATAAAACACAATTTGAGGAATCGTCATCAATTATTTATCGAGGTGTGATTGGTTACTAAAAGTGTTATATTATTTTAATAAAATTTATAAAAATAATATTAAAACAACACAAAAAGGGTTTGCTTACTAAAAAATGAGTTTGGGAGTCGGTTACGTGTAGGGAAAGATTAGCACTCCACAACGCCCAAAATTAATACATTTATTTATTAATTAATGTCTTTGTAGTAAAAATTTATAAATATGAGTTTAATTTAATTTATGATCCCTTTAACAAACATTAAGGATGTTATTTTATACTAACAAATCATTTAAAATACATTCTTAATAAATTGAGGAAATATTTTATGATTCATTCTATAAAATAATATAACTCGATTACATATAATAATTTTAATAATGAAAATATGAAAATAAAAAGATCAAGGCCAATATTGTAAATAAATCATATTTGTGGTACTAAAAGTGTAAATAAACTAATAGTAACATTAAATATTAAAAGTATTAAAGTTAGGTGATTAAATTGTAAAATAACAAAAATAGTGGCCCTAATTCAAAATATTACAAAAGCTAGGTACTATTAGTGTAATTTAACCATAATTAATTATTCAGGACTAAAATAAAAATTATTAAAATAATAGACTAAAATAGATATTTACCCTAAATATATAAACATACTGGTAGTGACTAAAAAAGAAATAAAGAAAAATGTAAAAAAAATTAAAATGCATAGAAACTTGATTTCGGTGACTAAAATATGAAGAGTACAACATACAGGGATTACAAGTGTAATTTACCCATTCCAAAATTACTCAGAGGTCCTCCCAAAACGATGTAGTTTCGGGGAGGGTATACATACCCCATTAACCGGCCTAAAGAGGCCACCAACCCTCATTTCTCTCTTTTGCTTCTCTATCTTAGAGAGAGAAGCTCTCCCTTCTCTCTAGGATTCCTTCGCCGGAGGGATACCAATCAACGGCCGACCACCGTATGTCGTTACCGACAACCACGGTGGTCGAAATTTTGCAAACTCACCCAAATCAAAGCCTCATTTTTTCTAAACCCAAATCCAAGCTTCCTTTCTCCTAATAACTAGTCAATCGGACTAGATCTAATAAGATACCTTCGAAGTTTTGACTCTTCGACGACGTTTGAAGCCTCTGATGGTCGTGAGTAAGTCTCTCAGTTTTTCCTCTCTATTTCCTTTCATTGTTGGTTGCTTCTTGCTTCGTTGTGTACTGCCTTTCCCTCGTTACTTCCTTTGGTTTGAAATGGTTGTCGTTTCTGTGTTTCATTTCCGTTTGTTCTTTTTCTTGCAGGTTCGGCCTTTTTATAGGCCTCGTGGTGCTACTTGTAATGATGAAACTTCGGTGAGTCACCGGAGCTACGGTGGTGACTCACCCTAGAGACGATGAGGTGTGCGGTCCTCTTTCATCTTTTAGAGTCTTCTATTGAGGCGGTGGTGGCGTGGCAGCGTTGGAGTGGACCATCTGGAGGCGGCGGCCAGAATAGCCCTAGGGTGGTAATGATACCCTAGGGTTTCTGCTGGAACCATCTGGGTCGTTGGATCTCTCCAGATCCAACAGTTGAGATCTGCGACGGCTGGAGCTGAGATGTGTGAAAAATCCTAACTGTTTTGGGCCTTCTCGGGTTTGGTTGTTGGGCTTCCGGGTCTAGGCCTAGATCTGTTGTTGAACTTGTAGAACGAGCTCCGGGTCTGACTCGGGTCTGGGCCTGGATCAGCTTCTCTGTTGGGCCTCCAGGTTGTAAATCAATTGGGCCTTCAAACTTGTAATTGGGCTTTTGTAAATGGGCCTCAATTTGTTGTATTTATTTGTAATAATAATAATAATAATAATAGTAATAATAATATTATAAATAGTAAGCTCGGACGAAAATGACTGTCGACATTTCCTACTCCCAATTTTTAAAACCTAATTATTATGTATCCAAGTTACACTTGATGAAAATGAAGTTCTATAACTTGCTTTTAATCCAGGTACATTTATGTAGTCTTAATTTTTCAAGGATAAAACCAGACTTTAGGTAGGAGGACAAGTTCTTTCAACCCTACCAAGCTCATCAACTTTCTTTGGGTTTTGCAATTTTCTGTTATTGGATATACTGTAATCTCATTGTGTAATTAATTTAGCATTCATCTAATCAAGAGAAAGCTCACACAAGATATAAGATGTGTGCCTAAACTACTAACCAGCCACTTATCCAAAATAAAAAAATTCTACCATCCCATCATCATCATCCCAATCATTATCTCCGTATATGTATATAAAACCAGGATCGTATCCTTTGTGATCTTCTACAGATCAGCCAACTCCAACAAGAAAGAGCATGAAAAAAAGAAGGTGAAATTCCATACAAAAAAAGGGTTATGGACAAAGGAGGAAGACAGATTACTCATTGATTATGTCAAGGTCCATGGAAAAGGACAATGGAATAAAATAGCCAACAGAACAGGTTCTTAACAACGCACACACCCTCTTCATTCTTTTCTTCTTTGTCATAAATAATCTATTGTTGTTGTGTGTGTTTTCTTACAGGTTTGAAGAGATGTGGGAAAAGTTGTCGGCTAAGGTGGATGAATTATCTGAGCCCCAACATTAAAAAGGGAGAATTCTCTGAGGAGGAAGAAGACCTTATCATTAGACTTCACAAGCTTCTTGGAAACAGGTTTTTTCTCCTATATCACAACTCTTCAGTTCAAATCTTTTCGAGTCCAGGTGATAGTTCATTATTCTCTTCGCAGGTGGTCTTTGATTGCTAAACGGGTTCCAGGACGAACTGATAATCAAGTGAAGAACTACTGGAACAGTCATTTGAGGAGGAAACTAGGAATCAATGATCAAAATGAGAAAAGGGTCTATTTTCGTCAAAGTTCAAAGCAAGTGAAAGCGGGTGATGATCATCATCAGGCAGCCGTGGATCCAAGTCCTGGAGATGGCATCACCAGTACTGAAACCATTGAAATAACAGTGGATCAAAGCACCCAGCAAGCCATTGATCATAGGGTCTTAAACGACACTCAAGAATCAATGGCCAGCACCAGTTATATGACCACTTCCTGGATTCCTGACGCTGATTATGAGCTAAGTACACTTGCCATGACTGACCACTTCAATGGATATTCTTCTTTCGATCTTGCTTAATAGCTACAAACTGTAACTACAACTAGGGTATTATTTTCGGGTATGGATGCTTGTCTAACATGACAATGTTGTTCAATTTTCAGATACATTAAAAGCCACTTGTTTAACCTTTAAACCATGCTCATTTCATGTGTTTGAAGATTAAGGTGTCCAATAATTTGAAACCCATAAAAGGCTAACATGATGAAAAGGTCTAATAAATTTTAATTCAATAAACATTCACTGTGTGTAAGGTCAGATTCAATTATTAATTTTTTCCTGTAGATGCAGTATGCATTTATAGAAACAGTATTGAATGAAATTTTGTTTATTTAAATTTGGGTGGATGTCAGATGTGGATTTATTTAATATAAATATATTTATACCCGAATATATTAAACACAAATTTTTTATAAAAAAATCAGGTAATACAAGTTTCGAATCTTTTCAATAAATAAAAGTAACATAATAGTATATGTATACATACCCTATTGGAGAGAAACATGTCCACATGACTTTTGAATGGCAATTAAAACTGCTCCAAGTTCTTGAATTAACAGCAGAGAAACCGATCCCTTATTCATTGATGTGTAATAATTGAAGAGTGAGAAAGATGAATACTGTTGAATGAGTTTCAAGAACCCGAAAGTTGTTGAATTTATAGTAATTAGTAAATAAGAACTCCATCGATATGTTTAATAGCTCAGAAAGACACAAGCATACATAGTAGTACATTGCAGTTAAAAAAAGACAACTGATTCAGGAACACCACAAAGATGGATTCACTGTCTCACTGATGATGGTAACAGTTTGTTGATTCAAACGGAGAGAGGCGAAGAAAGCTCAAAATTGAGACTCCAGAGCTCGAAAGTTCCTTTGACGAAATCGTAGTAAGCACCCTTGAGCGCCAGAGTTTTGTTGGCCAATCCATTTCTCACAAATGGATAACTTAGCAGGTTTCCAAGTGATACGTTCACTGCTTCCTGCAAATTATAGTACACGCATCATTAGTTCGAAACTTGCGTGAACCGAACTCAGGACTTAAACTCGATTGGTTCACGCAATCTATTTATCTATCTATCTATATGGAGAAGCTAAGGGATAGAGTGTCCACCTTCTCACAATGTGTACATTGAGCTCCCAAAGGCTCGCTAGCGTGGTCTGCTAGAACCTTTTTCTTTGCATGGATTCCAATCTTAACCCACTCTTCTATGAAATCACTGCAAATATGAATCAGGTTACAGTAAATTTATTGTCGGTAAATGTAGAAACTTGTTTTGTAAAGCAATAAGGGTACATACGTAGAGGTGGTTCCATCGAATGGGAAAGACATAAGCCCTTTGATTCCACCACAGGCACTGTGACCAATGACCACGATTTCTTGAACCTGACAAAGGGATTTAACACTTTGATTCACGCTGAGATTTCCAATAAACTATCAACTGTTCCATTGTTCCTGATTTTTCACATATTTTACCTTGAGATGCAAAACAGCATATTCAACAGCAGAACCGATTCCAGCGTATTTAATCTGGCATAACATTGACAATGAACTAACTTTTCTGAATTTCAACATCTGTAATAAGTCGGTCTTATCCGGAGGGATCAAAAAGTTACCTGATCGTATGGTGGTACCATGTTAGCAACATTGCGGACCACAAAAGCTTCCCCCGGTTGCATGTCCAGCACATGCGATGGGCACACCCTGGAGTCGGAGCAGGCAACAATCATATACTGCAACAAATTAGACCAACATTTAGTACTAGAAAAAGTATTGTAACAATACATATATTGTAGTGTGTACCTTGGGGCTTTGGCCTTGGCAAGTTCAGCGTACAAAGCAGGATTCTTTCTGCAAAAAGTTGCATTTTTAAAAAAAAAAACGCACAATAGAAGAAGAAAAAAGATGATGAAATGAATGGAGTAAGGGTGATGACTAACTCGTATTTTTCTTTTTTGAAGTGAATGAATCCTTGTTTCAACCTCTCCACTGAGTCACCAGATGCTGATGTTTTTAACTCAGCTGTTACTTGGTCTACCTTTGCAGCTGCTGCAGCTTTCAGTTCTCCTTTCTCACTACAATCAAGCAATAAATCCAAACGTGAAAAATTGGCAGTTAAAAAAATCATTGTGTGTGTGTATATATATATATTACCTGAGCAGTTTCTTGAGACCTTCAATGGCTTCCTCGTATGTCTTGTCTCCCATGTCTTCTCTCTGCCAATTCTCAAACCCCGATTATAATTTAGAAACTATTTCACACGTACTTGTTATTGCAAGTATATATATATATATATATATATATAATGAATCTTTGTCTGTATTGAATATGTTTAATTTTAATTTAGCTCCGAATCAGTTATTTATGGTGGATTGTTAGTGATATTTAGCCAAAAAAGAGATGGCATTAATTTGATTGGTTGGTTGGGGTTAATCAGAGCCACACAGTTGTCACTAGATCAGTTAAGTGCATTTGAACCATTGATGACATGCCACGTTGTTTCCAAATTATGAGATAAAACGTGATTTGCATATAGATTTTCACGATCTACGTACGTCTTTATGCAATGCATATAGATTTTCACATGCAAAACTCTACCGCATTGCCACATTGATACCTTTTTCTAATCTTTGCATCACAATGAAACATACTTTTAAAAAAAATATTTTTAAAGAAAGTAACGAAGGAAAAGGGAGTATTGTATATATTATATGATAGGGTAAATTATGTATTTAGTTACTTGATTATCATTTTAGTTTTGTTTTGGTCACCTAAATAATTTTTTTAAACCATTACTAACATTATGTTTTGGTTTTATTTTGATCACTCGTCATTAAAAATTTAATGGTGGTGCTGACGTGCACCATAAGGAAATACCATGTAATCATTGAAAAAATTAAAAAAAAAATGTCATATTAACGGTTTTGTTACTTTTTTAACGACGAGTGATCAAAATAAAATCAAAACGTAACACATTAGTGATGATTTAAAGTATTAATAAAAAAAATGGTAGTTGAGTGACTAAAACGGAACCAAAGTGATGGTTATGTGAGTAAATATGTATTTTACCATATACGATACTTGAAAAGAAAGAAAGGGTGCGAGTGTATGTACCCAATTAGAAGGGTTGAGCAAAAACAGGAGCAGCGAAAACAGGTTGGTTACGAATGAGGGTAGGAGGAGAAGGGGAAGAGTTGAGGGAGGCGACAATGGTGGAGGGACGTAATGTGGGTCGGCGGGGAGCGGTGGCAGTGGCGGAGGAGGTGAGGCACCAGCCGTTAATGGAAGCAGTCGACATTACCGCTATGTGTCATGCAATACACTAGATTTATACCAATGTTTTTATTAACGATTCTTGACCCGGAATCCGGATAATGAAAACGAAAGCCTGGTGAAGGAGAGCTTCTTGCTTTGTAGATGAGGTTTGGACGTTGGAGATCAAATTTTATTTCTCTCTTTTCTAAACGTATGATCATCAATTTATTACCATGATATATTTACACGTGCATACAATGCCCATCATCCACATACACATCAAAACAAAACAATCAAGAGAGCAACACCTGTCAATATTATGGAACAAACCCAAAGGTGAGGAAGAGATGAATGGGTGAAAAACATTAGGTGTTGATGATGAAGATAAGACCCTATCTCTAAAACATGGCTCCCTTTCATCTGTTTTCTGCTACATCTCATGTTCTTTTCAAACGATTTAGTTTCGGATTATGTCCACATATTCTACGCTATGGCCTTCATTTGTTTTCCCTCCAACTTTCTCCATTTGCTACCATCGTCACAACATTTTGCACTCTACTCTCGTACATCTTCATTCACAATGGAACAAATTAATATGTTATACTGATAAGATGAGACGAAATTTTACCCTTTAATTTGAAAGTGTGTAGATTTTAATTAATTTTTATGAGTGTTGTATCTCAAGTAAAGAATTTTCGCACATACTATATTAATTCAGTGATCTATTCAAAAATTAAAAATTAGAGGCCTAAAATTAAAAATCATTTAAAAAAATTACATTATTTAAAATCTAAAATAACAATCCATTCAAAAAGAAATTACAGCAGCTAAGTTATGTATGAAAAAAATAAAATAGATGAGGATTGAAAAATAAGAAAGCAATGAGTGTTCTACATAGTTAAAAAAAATTAGTCAATATTTAAAATAAATAAATAAATCAAATTTAACTTACCATTCACATCATCTAACACAAAGCTCTCAAGATTGAGTGTTCGGTTTTTTTTCCCTTTTCGCGTCATACATGTCAAAAATTTAAGAATAGGTGTACATAATTTTTTTCTTTATTATAATACACTATATTTAGTAATTTTTCAAGAAAAAAAATATAAAATGACTACCCATAAAGCTTTACAGATCCACCCATGCTATGTTCGCGTCTCACAACCTTGAGAAATTTTAAAATGCTCTTGACGTTCCGATTTCAAGGAAATTTCGAAAGGTATAGAGATAACATTTCTAAAATAGAAACTTCAACATTTCACAAAACAGACAATACTTTGATACTGATCAATGATTAATTCTTCATCGACTATGACTCTTCATTTAAATAGTAAAAATTGAACTATCAATAACTATTATAACCTATTTAGTCCGATGAACAATGAGATAAATATTTAGTTTACTTAATTATCTGATTTCTATGACAAGAGGAATGATGAAAAAAAGACAGTAATTTAATGATTGAAATTCAGCACAGCATATGCCGTTTGGAGCTCACCAAATTCTTGTTCCAGGAGAGCTAATTAAAATAGTTTCGTTCTCCGCTGGATGGCCGGCGATCAACCATGGCGTAGAGTTTAAGAGTCAGTCCGTCGTGCACGGCTGGATTTGCTTGCTTAACCCACCGCCTCCCTCTGAAAACGGCCATTTTCGATCCAACTTCCAAGTAAATTTCTTGTTTATTCCAAAAGAAAAATGAATGATCCAACAAGCACCGTGAGTTGTGCGGATCTTCAAATTCCTAGTCCCTTACAAATTATTATTGGAAACTGATGTAGTTATACGTATCGTTTGGTTCATGTAAAAGTGTCAACATATTTAATAACAA